AGGAAACCGAATAGTTGTTTGGACTTGGGCAAGTGAAATAGCAGTTAGGCTTGGACATTGTTCTGTTGATACATGTTTTTGGTCTTAAAACAGAAAAACAATGAAGCACATTGCAGTCATCCTCCAAAGCTCAGTGTCATCTGGACATACTCTCTTTGCCTCAACTGACTTTGGATCAGGCACTCAGAATCCCATAGGATATCATCAAGGATTTCTTTTTTTTCTATGACTGTCCTCAGAATACCTTTTAATTTTATTGCCAAGTTATTGTACAATCAGCTAGGCAAATTATACAGGATAAATGAGAACTAGAGAGAAGGCAAAAGAAGGTAAATCTGGAATTTGAAGGTTTGTCTATAAAGGTCATTAAGACTTACACCAATCTCGAAGAGGATTTGAAGAGTATGTTTACTTTTAAGTATCTAAACATCAAGCTCCAATCCTGGTGCACCCAACTAAGGACAGAACCCTAAAGACAACTGTTTTAAGATCATGGTCTAAAGACAAAACTGCTGAAAGTGAACAAAGGGAAAAGTGTCCTTGCTATTTAAGTAGAGGGTAAGTTATGTGTTACGACTTAACCTTGACTAACATCCAAATGCAATGCAGATAGGCTGAGTCTGGCTCTTCGCTCCTTCCCCACACTCTCAGACCTGAAGCTCCTTCCTTCCTTCCTCTTTGTACCAGTTCTGACACTTGCTGGAGCCTTCGCTGAGGCATTCCAGATTGCTAAACCAGCAAAAAACTAAGCAAACAAAAGTGGTCAATTCTTTTTTGCTGGGTTTATGTATTTAATTAGCTCAGTGGAAGATCCAAAAGATGTCAAAATTGATGAGAATGGAGAAAACTGCTAGAAGGAGTGGATGGAGTAGGATGTGGGGTTTTCCCCTTTGGGCAGTGGTAAACTGGGAGGTTTGTTCAACAATACAAGGTGATTTAAGAAATAGTCAAAAAATGGAACTGGAGACTAAGAAACGGGAGAGCTACAGCACTTTCAGTTCAAAAGTTAAAAGAGTAAAAGAGCAAATACATACAGAAATATGAGCTGCTGCCACCTGTAAAGGGCATCACTAGAGTTTCTGCTGCTTATTTAAAAAAGATCTGCAGCTTCTCGTTCCATTTTACTTTTAAAGCAAGGTCTCTTCAAAGAACTCAAAACAAAATTCAAAGGAAGAAAACAAAACTTCAGAATTTCAAAGAAAGCTTGTATGTCTGTTTCACATTGTTCTTAATCCCAAATGAACACAAAACCAAACACTGGATACCAGAGACAAAATAACGGCAAAAGTGGACTCATAACCCCAGTTCTCATGTATGTTAGAGAACCAGGCAGTCAGGTGATGTAACATCATAAAGTTCCATTAAACCAACAGATACTGTGAAGATTTTGCCCACATTTTATTGAATTTAAATTTATTTACAGATACCATAAACACCATTGTTTCCTTTAAGGAATTATTTTCAGTTCTCACCAAGGATTTATTTAGATCTGTGTATTATACAGTTGTGACTAAGACATTTCACACGGAAAATTCTTCTCTCCTTAAAGTAAAATTTAAATAAAGTTAAGTCCTGCAAACATAACTTCTAATAACTGGCAACCTCATCTGTGGGTTTCATTCACAGTTTACATGGTAATAACTGGGCAGAGATGTGCAAGAAATCTAAACTTGCTAGAGCCCAATAACCTTGGCATTTGCAGATATGTTCTGCAATCATAAACACTAAGAAAACAGAGATGAGTTTAGAAGATTCTCATTAGAAATGTACAATGAGTGAGACCACAGCAACTGCAGGCTTTTTGATAACATGAAAAATCTAAAGGTTTGTTTAAATAATGATGGTATTAGACTAATTTAAGCATGAGATGAATTTGCCAGGTCTAGAGAAGAGAGAAAACACATAATAATAAAAAGGAAAATAAACCCCAAACAAACAGAATGAAAAAAACCACATACTCAAGCCAAAGAGATCTGACATATCCAAATCAACTTTGATGAATACGGTGATGTCAATTCACATAGCTACAAATAATCTTATAGGTAAATGTAGCATCATTAAATTCCAATAAAGACATGCATTTATAGTATGCCTGGGTTTTTTCAAATCCAGAATGTGATGATTGGAAAACTATACTCCCTGGAACACACATTTGCAAATTCAATGCAAAAATGTAACATTTAGGCCAGAAGGGACCAATGTGTTAACTTGTCTTCAGGCACAGTACAGTCTCTTTTGCACAAAAAAAATAAATTATTTTATGAAAAGGACCTGGGGGTGCTGGTCAACAGCCAGCTGAACATGAGTCAGCAGTGAAGGCAAGACAACACTGAGAGGGGAGGCCAGGGGTTTGCACAAGGCCTCAAGGATCTCCCTCTGCTTCAGGTGCCTCCTGGCCCTCAGAGCACAGGGATTCAGGTAGCTAGAAGTGGAAATTTCAATGTATGATGAGGCTGCAGTACATGACACCAGCTTGTAGACCTCCCCCATAGACCTCCCCCACCTGAGAAACAACCTAAGAAATAGTCTAGGTCCCTTCAGAGTTCCCCTTGTATGAAACTTTCATGAAAGGAATGTTCTCTGCCAGGCTGTTACGAGACTTTTAATTGCAGTTCAATTCTGTTTCCATTAACTGCAAAGAAAACAGAATCAGCTCCTCAAGGTTTGGAAAGTTCTTTGAATGCCTTGAAAGAAAAAAGTTACAGACGTGTGAAATCACACTTTTGTTCCTGAACAATGTATCTGCTCCTGTAGCATCTTTCCCAACTGATGTTGTCATCAATTTTGTGACATCATAGTTGGCTGCCATGGAAAACTTTATGAAATCCTTATGGAAGG